AAATCATTTTTGAGTGATGGTCACTCCTTGGGTTAGTAGGTACCTTGTGGCCAAATTTGGCAACAATTCATCAAGCGGATTTTGGGTTATGATGTCACTCAAAATGAACAGAGCATCCAGATATCTATCTATCTATCTATCTATCCATCCATCCATCTATCCATCCATCCCTGTGGAATAATGTCCAGGATGGGGAAAAGAAGGACCCTTGTCTGTTTGAAGCAATTGTGGATGTAGCAATGAGCCATCTTGAATAGCATTGAGTAGCCATGAAGCTTGCAAAGTCAGTCAGTGAGGGTCTCTGCATAGAGGTGGCCTGGCCTTTGTTGCCTGGAGGCACCCTCTGTTTGGGAGGTGTTCACTGGTCCTTCATTGCTTGCTTCCTAAGGTTCCCCTGTTTCTGAGTGGTGCTCCTTATTTACTGTCTTGATTCTGATGTTTTCTTCTAATACCGGTAATGTTAATGGTATGATATTATAGTTGTGTATTTTGGATGGATGGCTAAATAATCTTGCCAAAATTATGTTTTTCCTGCAGAATATTGAATGATTTGGCTATGTTTCATGTTGAACAGTACTTGGCCCAGGAGCAAACCCTATGGCACTCCACTAGTCACTTCTTCCCAGGATGCAGAGGAAGAAGCACCTTTTTGGTTTGGTCACTTAACCAATTACAGATCCACCTAACAGTAGCATTGCCTAGCTCACATTTAACTCGTTTGTTGTGTTGTATCTTGTGTTGTAGTGGTACCCCGTGAATTTGGCACAATTTGGCACCTGGTTGTTTTTTTCCACTATACTTTCTGGTTCTGAAGAAAGATGTTGTTCTTCATCCGATGCCGGATCTCAGAATTGGGAAGATTTTCATCACTGTTCGTCACTTCTGGATAGTGACTGTTTTCCATCCTTCCTTTGTTTAATTGAGGAGATTGGTTTGTCACAATTGACTTAAAAGATGCTTAGTTCCACATTGCAGTTCAACCATAGTATTAATGTTTCCTCATTTTTGTGTAGGCAGCTGAGCTTTTCTCTTCCATGTGCCTGCCTTTGGCTTGGCCATGACTCCCAGGGTGTTTTTGATACCAACACTCTCCAACTCAAGCCAAGTTACAAGAACAAACCTTTTTGGACCATTCCACAAATGGAGATGTTATGTAAAGTTCTTTGAAGACCAGGATATAGACCCTTGGGATGCTATGGCCTTGTACTTACCGTATTTATCTTGGACTTTCATTCCACCTTTGCTTGCTCTTCACCGCTTGTGAGGTCAGCAGGATTTTAATTTGAGTGTTGTTTTCCATCTCCTCTTTCTCCTTTTAGCCTCTGCCAGCCCTTGAGGAGGCTGTTGTGTGGCTCTCTGAGAAGGAGTGGAGTGCCCTGGTGGGCTTGGTGTGTAGAAGATACAGTGGAGACTGGTGAGAACATGGCACCCAGGTAAGGTTTTCCTAGCTTTAAAAAATGGGTTGATCACATCTCTCTTGGGATGCCAGTTGAATGCAGGTCATGTGCCTTTGCCCAAATTGTGCCGGACCTGAGCTTGTGGGAAACTGCTCAGTGTAAAGCTACTGTTTTGCCAGGTGTGAATCTTGCACAGTTCATCCACAGTAATTGGTTGTGAATGTGGTCCCTCCCTCTCTTCCTTTTCAGACCCAAGGATCTGATCCATGGAGATATGCTGGTCAAACTAAGCAGTTGAATCTCATTCCTAAACAGGGAGTAGATATTGATGCACCTCAGTGTGGAACAGGCTATGGAGGGCTGTGCAGAGCCTCCCACTGCTCCTCACCATCTATCCTTGGGCCACCCAGAGATGGAGATTCCATATTTATTTATTTACGACATTTATGCCGCCCTTCCCACCCCCCAAGGGGACTCAGAGCGGCTGAATAAACATATATATATATATATATATATATACACACACACACACACACATACAATCTATACATATAAAAAGGTGGACGTCGTCGTGAGTGGTTTAAAAACGGAAAAACTACAGGACCAAATATCACCAAATTTGGCCTTGAAATGCCTAATACCCCAAGGTATGACCAAAAATCATAAAAAATCAAATAAACACCAAAACAAACTCACAAATTCAAAAAAAGGAGAGGACAACACGGAGCATGCGCACAGGGGTGGGGAGGGTGCACGCACGCAGGAGAGCTCCTCCATCATCTCTCTCTCTCACACACACCTGGCTAAACAGTCCTCCTTGCTCTGGCAACTTGCTTTCCCCGCCTCCATTGGCTTCTCATGCAAAAGATTTTAATATATATTTAAAATCTAATGTTGGCTCCTTCTCATAGAAAGAAAGAAAGGAAGGAAGAGGATGAGGAGGATGGAGGAAGTTTGCACGCACTACACTCTGGGAGTTGTAGTTCTTGCCCCGAGCTGGTCGTTAAACCAATGGGACTGAAGGACTCCATTTCCCAGCTTGCCCCGCACCCAAGGCGGGTGGCGCATGTGCGGTGCCGCCTGTCTGACTCCCACTAGCTCATCAGTGCCGCCGCTGGCTGAAAAAGAGAGAGGGAAGAAGACAAGGAGAGGAAGAAAATAAAGGAGGAAGAGGAGGATTGGAAGCGGAGGAGGAGGAAGTCGAGGAAGGCGATGTCAGTGGAAAAGGCCGGGGAGGGAATGGAAGCGGCGGGTGGCCGCGGAGGGGAAGAAAAACGAAAGGAGAAGGGAGGCCCGCCATCTTCGGCAAAGCCAGAGGCTCGATTTGTGGCGCGGGCCGGGCTCCCTCTCGCCTTCGCCGGTCTCAAAAGCAGGCCTGTGGAGGGTGGGTCTCTCGCAATTGCTGATCCAGGCCGCTGTTTTGGTGCTTCCAGGACCCAGATGTAGAGGTTGTGATGAAGACTACGCAATAATGTTTGTATTTATCGCGTCAGAAGCGAATTGAGAATACAATTAGGATGCATAAAAAAGCACAAAGAAAGTGCTAAACTTGATATGATGCTAAATTTACTGTGGCCAGGAGCTGGGCACTTGGAGTGCCTTTCTGTGGCTGTAAGGAGGTCCTCCATTGTGCATGTGGCGCGGCTCACACAACTACAACAATAACAAAACTTTATTTCTATCCCTCCCCAATCTCCCCGTGTGGACTCAGGGTGGCGCACAGGCACAAAAAGGCAAACATTCAATGCCTTGCACAGTAATAAACAAGTAGTACAATCCATGAAGTAAACTGTCCATGCCTTAAATATATATCTCTATCTCTCTATATGATTTTGCCATTTTGTATAAAAAATATTATATATATATACACACACATAAATATGTAACACTAATAGTATAATATACTGGTAGTGTATTATATAGATTGTGGTATTTATTTATTTATTGTGTCATCAGCAACCATACCATTGTATTACATTTCTAACAGAACAAATAAAAAAAAACCACATACAATTAATTTCTAAATGTAATACAAATAATTGTGGTATCATTCTATAGTACAATATAATAATGTATATAATATAATAATATAATGCCTATAATATAATAATTGTGTGTTATATATTACATGTATTATTATCTATATAAATAAAAATGTAATGTTCATTTGTGGGATTATGATAACTTGAAAATCACTGGACGAACTGGCACCAAATTTGGGCACGATACACCTATCAGGCCAACAAGTGACCATCTATATAAATACAAATGTAGTGTTCATGTGTGGGATTAACTTAACTCAAAAACCACTGGATGCAAATTTGGACACAATACACCTATCAGGCCAACGAGTGACCATCACTCATAAAAACACTGAAAAACACAGTGGAAAGGACTTAAAAAGCCAAAAAACCAAAAAGTATATGCAAACACACACTTGGACTCAAAAACACAAATATATACACACTCAAAACACATCTACAAAGATTGGGCCACAGCAATGCGTGGCAGGGAACAGCTAGTATATTATATTATTAGCATAGTACAATATCAGTATTAAATATTACTATATTGTATTATACCATTATATTGTAATATTATTAGTAATATTACATGTAATATCAATATATAATTATAATATATTATTAGTATTAGTATTATACTGCATTACATTATAATATAAATATTATAAGTATATACAATATATTATATTACATTATATTATATTATTAACATGGAACTGTCCCCTGGCCCCCTCTCTCTTCACTCTGGCCCAGAGCGGCATATCCCCTGTCATGTAGATGGGCAAGAGGGGTTTCCCTTCCATTGTCTTTTGGGACAGGCAGATACAACAACTTGTAATCCTTGATACTTTAGAGCAGGGGTCCTCAAACTACGGCCCGCGGGACACGTGCAGCCTGCCGAGGGCATTTATCCGGCCCGCCTGGCCTGGCCTGGCCTCGCACAAAGCCCCTCGGCGCTTGCGTTGGCAGCATTTCTCTCTCCCCCCCCCCCCTCTGGAACGGCTTTGGGTGGGGTTGCGCTGGGCCAGGCTTCTTCCTCCCATGTGCCACGGCGGCCTGGCTCCAGGCGCCTGTAGTAAAAAGGGGTGGGGCCTCCGGGCCAGGGAAACTGGCATTGCCTGGCCACGCCCACCCGGTGCTGCCTCTGCCAGTCGCAGACTTTGCTCGAGGTCAGGCCGCGCGGTGCAGTTTACTTGCCTTGCGCTGCCTCTCATGTGACCCAGGCAGGGGAGACTACACCGCTTGGCCTGTTCTCGCATGAATCCCTCGCCACTTTAATTGCTGCATGCACCTCAGGGACAGCATCTGGCTCGCACGAGGGGCAGCATGAGGCAGGTAAGTTGCACCGTGCGGCTTGGCCTCGTGCAAAGAGCTTTAAAACTTTGAAATGAAATATTATTTATTTATTTCCTACATTTATACTCCGCCCTTCTCCTGCTGAAAGGGGACTTATGCTTACATATTCCAAAAACCACTTCCAAAAAGACAGAAAATAGATTTTTTTCCTCATTTTCATCGGAACTATTTTATATTGCTTTCAGCAGCCCATGGTTGGGTGTGTCTGCTTTTATTTATGGTGGCCCCATAGATTTAATAAGGTTTTCTTTGAGAGGAAATACTCAAATATAGTTTTGTCAGTTTCTTTCTCTGAAATATAGCACCTGCTATTCATTTGTGGCTTCCCATCCAAATACTAACCAGAACTGGCCCTGCTTAGCATTCAAGATCAGAGACATTTAATCTTTCATTGACTTTGCCAGGTATTATTCTTCTGTACAGTAGTATCTGTGACCCCTTGTGATCCAACTTGTACAGGCAGTCCCCAAGTTACAAACAAATTATGTATGTTTGTTTTCACTGTAAGTTGAGTTTGGTTCAATTTCATTGTTGGAGTTCAGAATGCTCTTGCTTGGCAGGGGAACTGTTCATCCCAGCAACTCCCAAATGCCAAAGTCTATTTTCCCCAAGCCTCTCCAGTATTTTCTGTTGGTGATGGGAGTCCGTCTGATAGGCTGATCAGTAAACATATTCATGGGTTCCCTGCTGTCATATTAAGATGGTTACCCACGCTGTGACATGCTTGAAATCAAAATTTCATTTATTTGTAATCAGAAATAAATATTTCACAATGTATAATTACATGTTGTTTTTGTGATTAATCACTATGCTTTATGTTTAGATTGTAACAATAAAAATACATCATGCATATCAGATATTTACATTATGATTCATAACAGTAACAAAATAAGACATGTGCAGTGTGCATAGGAATTTGGTCATTTAAAAAAAAATATAGTCTGGCCCTCCAACGGTCTGAGGGACAGTAATCTGGCCCCCTGTTTAAAAAAAGTTTGAGGACCCCTGCTTTAGAGTAAGGGAATCCCAATTAAAAGAGAAGACTAGAGGAAAAGAGAGAACTCAGATGGGAAAAACTTCTAACTCTCCAGAGAAGAGGTTTCCTAATGCCAGACCCAGGACTCAGGGTGGAGGATTCCAGTTGGAACACAGAAGGACAGGATGTGGTCCTCATGAGACAGAGGAGAAAAGTGGGCAACGCTCATTCAGAAGCCAGGAGCCCATGAACGAGAAGCAAGGGCTAATCTGATAGATTCAAGGGCTCTATTTCAGGCTTTATGAGAGTGCCGTTCAAAAAAGAAAATTCCGTCGATACGCCAGGAATGGCATTTTTAAGAAAGAGTGCGCAGTTAGCTCATGGCGATGTGGAGAAACTCAGTACCAAGAACTAACTGTATTTGCATTGGAGCAGGGGCTCTTTCTGAGGGAGGATTCCTATTCAGGAAGGAGTTTTGCTCTTCTCCAGCTATCCTTGCTTCACTTCTCAAATGCAAATGGAAAGCACTGCTATATCACCAGAAGAGAGGAGGACATGGATCTGCTTCTCAGGCAATGCTATTGATGTTAGCGGCTGAGAGGAGCATATTGATCCCACATTTCAGTATGTTGGCATGTTAAATAGATTAACGAGACTCTAGGGGATAAGTCTCTTATTTGGTCTCTGATTTCTGTCATTTTGCCTAAAGGATTTTTTTCTTCTTTCTCAAAAAAGAAATCGGCAGAAGAAACAGAAGAAGCCAGCTGTAACAAAGCCTGGTGCGGAAAAACAGGTGTCTGGAAAGCAAAAGAGAACGAAAACAGGGGAGAAACCATATAAATGCATGGAATGTGGAAAGGGCTTCAGTCAGAAAGGAAATCTACAGGTGCATCAAAGAACCCACACAGGAGAGAAGCCATACAGATGTATGGAATGTGAAAGGAGCTTCAGTTGCGGTGGAAGTCTACGTGTGCACCAAAGAACTCACACAGGAGATAAACCCTATGAATGCATGGAATGTGGAAAGAGCTTCAGTGATAGAGGAGGATATAATCGACATCAAAGGATTCACTCAGGTGAGAAGCCCTACAAATGCATAGAATGCGATAAAACCTTCAGGTGCTGTTCAGGTCTACTGACACATCAAAACACTCACAGAGGAGAGAAACCATACAAATGCATGGTGTGTGGAAAGCATTTCAGTAAGACTGATAATCTGCGCGTACATGAAAGAATGCATTCTGGAGACAAACCCTATAAGTGCACAGAATGTGGAAAGAGCTACAGTCACAGGACAAATCTACGTGTCCATGAAAGGACACACACAGGGGAGAGACCATACAAATGCACAGAATGTGGAATGGGCTTCTGTGATAAAGGCACATGTAATAATCATCTAATGACCCACACAGAGGAGAAACCATATGAATGCATGGAATGTGGAAAGAGTTTCCGTCGCAGTGCAAATCTACGTACGCATCAAAGAACTCACACAGGGGTGAAACCGCATGAATGCATGGAATGTGGAAAGAGTTTCAGTCGCAGTGCAAATCTACGTACGCATCAAAGAACCCACACAGGGGAGAAACCTTATGAATGCATGGAGTGTGGAAAGAGCTTCAGTTGCAGTGGAAGTTTACATTCCCATCAAAGAATCCACACAGGAGAAAAACCATATCAATGCCTGGAATGTGGAAAGAGTTTCAGGGAGAGACGAGATTTGAATGCCCATCATATGATCCACACAGGGGAAAAACCATATAAATGCATGGAATGTGGAAAGGCCTTCAGCAGAGGTGGAGATTTATGTGCCCATCATAAGACCCACACAGGAGAGAAGCCATATCAATGCCTGGAATGTGGAAAGAGCTTCAGGGACAGACGAGATTTGCAAACTCATCATAGGACCCACACAGGGGAAAAACCATATAAATGCATGGAATGTGGAAAGAGCTTCAGGGACAGCAGACATTTACATGCCCATCGTAAGACCCACACCAGAAAAACCACATAAATGCATGGAATGTGGAAAGGCCTTCAACAGAAGTTGCTCATATAATAAATATCTAAGGGCTCACATGGGTGAGACCATGTGAATGCACAGAATGTGGAATGAAATTCCGTGGAAGTATTTGTTCACTTCTTAGTTCATGCCACTTTTCCCAGGTCTGTGGCAGAGTGTTGAAATCCTTCAAATATCCTTAATAATGGCAAACCAATTTCTTTTATTCCTTGTTTTAGGCAAATGTTCCTCCAGTAAGTCTCTTTGGAGTTCTTGCTATTTTTCCCTATGTATATATTTTTGGATTTACCTTAATCATAATAATAATTCGCTATTTATATTCCGCACTTCTCCCCGAGGGATCACAGCATTTACAGCAGACACAGGCAAACATTCAATGCCTTTACAGTCACATAAATGATTGGTTAATGAACACTGGAATGGAACAATGGATGACGAATCTGGAACATGCTTTTGATGACGAGACGACAGTGAATGGGTATTGTAGTAACGGTTTATTAATTGTGTAATGTGTTAGGTTGTTAACTGTTTCTATACTGTAGCACTGAATTTTTGCTGTTCGTATTTGTTGTGAACCGCTGTGAGTCGCCTTCGGGCTGAGAACAGTGGTATATAAGTAAGGTAAATAAAATAAATAAATAAATAAAATGAGACACAAAGGCAAAGGCTTCTTTCATTTCCGGCTTCTGAAGGCGAGGCTCATTTCACGTTCTGTGAGAGGTGCTTTTCTCGATTTTCAAGCCGAGGAGCCATTAAAGAGCCCACGCAGGGGAGAAACATGGGAGAAACATTGTCACCTCCTGGTTGTGTGGCCGGCAAGACTGCTTGGAGTTTCTTTTGCCTTTTCCTGCCAAAGCGGTACATATTATATTTTATAAGGTAACATAAGGTAATTTTACAAGGCAAAGGCTTCTCCTTTCATTTCCGGCTTCTGAAGGCGAGGCTCAGTTCTCGTTCTGGTAGAGGTGCTTCTCTCTATTTTCAATCTGAGGAGCCTGTATTGTCACCTCCCGGTGTTTCTGGGCATCACAATTTAACGGAGATGTTGAGTCTAAGCTGGAAAGTGTCCAGAGGCGGGTGACTCAAAGAATCAAGGGTCTCAAGAAAAAGCCCTATGATTTTAAAGAGATGGACATGTTTAGCCTGCAGAAGAGAAGATTGAGAGGAAGCGGGTAAGCTTGTTTTCTGCGGCTGTGCTGGTACGGCTGTACCAGGAGCTCCAACTTTATTTTCTTTTTGTTATCTGTTTGCAGTCATAGGGCAGGCCTCCTGTTCATCATAATTAAGCTATGGTTCCGCCCCTTGTTCAGGGCTCTGGGAGGGAGAGGAGCCATTTTTTGGGCAATCTCTCGTAAGGAAGCTAAGCTATAGGACGTAGACCAGCTTGTCCCGTAGAAAAGCTTCTTTTCTACAGAACATCTGGGGAAACAGATTCCAGGGAAAAGGTCCCAAGGCTCTGGCTGAGAGCTCACAGCCTCTCAGCCTCACAGCAAACAGAGGGAAAACAGCCCTGAAGATTTCAAAGATTTCTCTGAGGGAGGACAGCACTACAGATCCACGGAACTCCATCTGAAATATCTACAAGCCTCGGCTGGTAGG